TGTGTGTGTGTGTGTGGGTGTGTGTGTGTGTGTGTGTGTGTGTGTGTGTGTGTGTGCAGCTCATGTAGGGACATTTGTGTTTTTGCCCGTCATTAAAACCCCAGAAGAACTGTCTGCCCCTGCCAACAGGGTTTTAAATGTCACTTTTCTAAGAAATACAGTGATCTGGATGAGGAGTAGATGAGGGAAGACGGAGGTGAAAAAAAAGAGAGAGAAAGCCAAATAAATAATACAAAACGAGAAGAAGCGGTGAGGCTGGGTGCAGAGGAAGAAAATTAGACATTCAAGCTGAAAGAAAAAGGAGAGAGATGGAGGATGAAAGTAAAATCCGACCAACTGGACACAATCTCAGCAGGGATCATTAGAAAACAGGTGATAAGAGGTGAAACTGAGGTCTCAGAGGAACAGGTGGGACGAGAGAATGGGGGGGGACACCGAAAGACGGGATGGAAAGGAAAGGAGGGGAAAAACAGAAGGAGAGAAGGAGGAGCGAGCCTGAGGAGATGTGTCTGTTTTCTTGGCTGGAAAGATTTAATCAAGTTCATGTTGGTGTGGTGAACCACAAAGGCCCGCCACTTGTGTGCCAGAGGGGAGAACAAACCAAGTGCCCACTGTTCAGATCACCGCCATTATAGAAGAGAAGAAAAGACAGAGGTTGTTCAGGTTTGTTCCTCTCTGTATTGAACTCAGTATTGATCTTCATGTCTTCCCTCATGTGAAAAACACCTAAAACACCTCGAGTGGCTCCTATTCTTTTGTTTTTATTTTGAAATTTATTAAACCAAGAAAAACCAAACAATTAGAACAAAACCTGTTGCTTTTGCAAACGTTTCAGCCTTTCTAAGTCGTGATTTTACGATAAGAAAGAAATTTGACGTCTTGTGACGTTTGGCAGAGCTGCAGTTGAGAAATATTATTGTGAGTAGTTAAAATGACATCGATGTTCACTGACTCAGAGTGAAAATGTTTTTTTAGGCTAAAAGCTCAGACGTTTTAAAGTTATCACTCTGAAAAAGAGTTCAGTTTGTACCAATTGTGCCTGTGAAAATCAAAGAACCCATAGACCAATATATTTAAACTCTAGTCAAGATTTAATTCTTAAATGAAATCTTGAACACTTCAATTTGATGTGGAATAAAAATTATTAGTGGTTTCTTGGCCTTTTACAATCAATTTAAAATCATGTGTTTGATTCAGCACAAAGCTAATCGCTGCACAATACAAAAAATAAATATTTTCTTACAGCTACATCTTCATATTTTGCTGCTTATCTGTAGTCTGTGGAGGCAACAGTTCTAGGAGAGAAACCCAGACATCTCTCTCCTGAGCGAKACTTTCCAGCTCGTCCTGGGGGACCTTGAGGTGTTCCCYGGCCACAGAGGATATATAATCCCTCCAGTGAGTCTTTGGTCTTCCCCTGGTCTTCCCTGGGTCTCCTACCAGCCTGAAACACCTCTAAAGGCAGGCATCCTAATCAGATGAACCACCTCAATTAACTCCTTTTGATGRGGAGGAGCAGCGGCTCTACTCCGAGCTCCCCTGGGTGACAGAGCTCCTCACCCTATCTCTAAGGCTGAGCCCGGCCACCCTATGAAYGAAGCTCATTTCAGCTGCTTGTATCTGCAGTCTTGTTCTTTCGATCATGATCCACACCTCATGAC